ATGGAGGAGAGAGCAACGTGGGTTGTGTGGCTTACGTGGGAGGAAAGGGCCCTGATTCCCTTCATTAGCCACAGCTGGGAAGAGAGCTTAAAAGAAATCCATGCTGAGTGCAGTGTCTTCTGGGAGCAAACGTGAGTTTATCTTGTATTGACTTTGCTTATCTGTGTTCCTGGCATCTTCCCAACTGTGTTGAGTTATTGCTGTGCCTTCACATCTGGAATTCTTGCTCCTGCCCTGCTGGACTAATGACCTCATTTTCCCTTGATTGGACTTATAGTTCCAGTTTTTGTTGACCACGTTTTGGACTTGGTTCTCCACAGCCCAAGGCTGTTCCTGGGAGAGTTTTTCTCCAGCCCAGAAGGTAACCAGGACATTGGGGGCAAAGTTGGAGCTCAAAAAAGGACTCTTATTGCTTATGACTGTGTGGCCTTTGTGCCACGCCCCTTTGGGTCATCACAAGGACTTGTAAACGTGGGGATGTTTGGGGGCACAGTTGGAGCAATAAAGGGGAGTCAGACCTGTTCTCTGGCTGTGTTGCCTTCGTGCCACTCCCAGGTCATCACAAAGGGGTTGGCAGTCTGGGGATTGTTTGAAATTGTAAATCAGACCAATGGAATAACTACATTAGGGACAGAGACATTTAATAGCTGAGTGGCCTCCCGCCTTCGTGGTGGAGATGGTCAGAGTTGGGTGGATCTGCTTTTGAGCCCTGCGGGACTGGAGATGACAGGATCTTTGGGGAGTTGGGCATAAGAAATCGAATAAAGTGCAATAAAAATGATCCCAACCTGGAAACTCACTGCTGACCCTCTTTCCGTTGGTGCAGGTGTTGGTCACCGAATCGTAAATCTCAGGAGTTATCCGTGAGGGTGGACAAATATTGTTCCAACTTGGAAGGCCAGTTTGGGCCAAATTGGTCCTTGACTTACGACCAAAGATGGGTCCAAAATTTTCATTGCTAAGCAAGGCAGCTAAGTGAGTTTTACCCCATTTTATGCCACAGTTGTTAAGTGAATCATTGCAGTTGTCAGGAAATTCCTCCTTGGTTCTGGGTTGCGTCTCTCCTTGATGGGTTTCCACCCATTGCTTCTTGTTTTGCCTTCTGGAGCTTTGGAGAACAGCTTGACCCCCTCCTCTTCTTTGGGGCAGCCCCTCAGATATTGGAAGACTGCTATCATGTCACTCCTTCTTTTCACTAGACCAGACCTACCCAATTCCAGCAACCGTTCTTCATATGTTTTAGTCTCCAGCCCCCTAATCTTTGTTGCTCTTCTCTGCACCCTTCCCAGAAAAGAAATGGCCTATAGACATCAATACAGGCCATTTGTCAAGTGCCCGAATTTTGATCCTGGCTGGCTCAGGAATTCTGGGAGTTGAAGTCCATAAGTCCTAAAGGGGCCATAGTGGCATATAGAACATCTGCCAACATTTTCCAATTGGGACTCTCTGTTTGGCCATCAGAACAGAATAACAGAGTTGGAAGGGACCTTGGAGGTCTTCTAGTCCAACCCCCTGCTTAGGCAGGAAACCCTATACCACTTCAGACAAATGGCTGTCCAATCTCTTCTTAAAAACCTCCAGTACTGGAGCATTTACAACTTCTGGAGGCAAGTTGTTCCACTGACGAATTGTTCTCACTGTCAGGAAATTCCTCCTTAGTTCTAAGTTGCTTCTCTCCTTGATCAGTTTCCATCCGTTGCTTCTTGTCCTGCCCTCTGGTGCTTTGGAGAATAATTTGACCCCCTCTTCTTTGTGGCAGCCCCTCAAACATTGGAACACTGCCATCATGTCCCCCTGAGTCCTTCTTTTCATCAAACTAAACATACCCAGTTCCTGGAACACCATACCCATGGTTCCCAGCTATGTCCGGGCATCTTTAAGGCAGAGTTACCTCCCCCCAGCCACCATCCAAGAAAATTCACTTTGTTCCCAAGGCTGAGAATTAAGATTTTTAAAAGAAGATTGGGATTCTCTCCTTTTTTGGCATGGAATTCATCCTATGCATAAAAGATTGATCCGCTCCTGACACACATTTACTTCCCCCACCCCACCTCTGCGTTCACACACTCTTAATCTGGATTGCGCTAAACTCAACTTTATGGACAGGCAAATCCATTGTCAAAGAGTTTAAGGCATTTGTCTCATGACATAAGCAGGCAAATGCTGTACATTTTTGACTCCTTACACAAAATTGTGTCATTAGCGTCGTTACGGCATGTCAGACATCGATTTTCAGGATTTGCATACATTTATATCTGCTTCAGTCCATAGTAGATTAAAAAAAATGCAGAATACTTGCAGATGTTTAGTGCAATTTAGAGTGAAGGCATAAATTTACGTCAAATACTTATGCATACAGCACAAAGCATAATTAATGTAAAAACTAGCTTTGGTTCATTATTAAGGGATATAATGGGGACCCCATCCTGCTTATTAAATCTGAAAAAATTGTTAAAACAAGATCACTTAAACCGAGATTTTACTGCGTTGTTCACACTCAAACTCTAACAACGCTCACTTAACTATCCGGCTTAGGACTGAAAAGGTTGGGTTCGGTTGTGAAGATACCTTGAGGACTGCCATTAAATTTCCACATGTCAATCATGAGGCAAGAGAGCTTCTTCTTCCCTTGTCAATCACAAGGCGAGAGAGCCAATAGCGGTTGATTTTAACAGGAAGAGGAAGGATGGGTTTGGCTTGGACCGTTTGTGCTGGGTTTTCTTTAAGGGAGTGATAATCAACCTTGCTGGCTGGGGCATTCTAGGAGTTGAAGTTCATCTATGTTAAAAGTTGCTAATATTCACAAGAAAGCAGGAACTCAGCTCCAAGGCAGATGGGCTGCATTCGCACAAGACACAAGACTGGAGGAAACCCGGGTTTGGGGATTTTCCTGAAATTGCCCAGACAATGAGAACAATTAATCACTGGACTCCAGAAGTTGTGGCTGCTCCCTCACTGGTCAGTTTGGAAAACCACTTGTCTGAAGTCTCCTGCTTGAGCAGGGGGCTGGACTAGAAGACCTCCAAGGTCCCTTCCACCTCTGTGATTCTATGTCCTATTCCTGTTCTGTTCTATTCTCTCTACTCTATTCTGCATTATTTTCTATATTGTATTCTATTATTCTATTCTATTATTCTATTCTATATTCTATTCTATATTCTATTCTGAATTCTATTCTATTTTCTATTCTATTATTTTTTATATTCTATTCTATTCTATTATTCTATTGTATTCTACATTCTACCTCCTATATTTTTTCTATTTTCTATTCTATTCTATTCTATTCTACATTCTATTCTATATTATTTTCTATATTCTATTCTATATTCCATTCTATTCTATACTATTCTATATTCTATACTATTATTCTATTCTATATTCTATTCTACATTCTACCTTATATATTATTTTCTACATTCTATTCTATTC